GATGCCGAAAAAAAAAGAGAAAGGAGAGAAGGCAGGAGAGAGAAGGAGAGAGGGAGAGAGAGAAGAGAAGGGTGTGAGAGAGAGAGAGAGATGAGAGGGAGAACATCGAGGAGGAGAGAGATGGCGAGGGAGAGAGAGAGAGGGTTAGTGTCGCGCAATTGTGTAGTGTGAGGAGAGGAAGGCAATTACAGAGAAAGAGGAGAAAAAACTAAACACACCATTCACTTTCCTGAAGTTAGGCGGGGTAAGCTGACGAGATGTCAGTTGAATTGTCAGATTTTTAAACACATTAATGTACTATATATAACTGTATGCAACTAATACGATTATACAATACGTATATATATAAGTTCTGTACGGTATACACAGTTCTCAGTGTTCCCTCTGACGCGAAAAAGGTCTCTGAGGTCGTTGATTTTTTGTGTGCGTTTGTTTTTTCGCGTTTCGAGGTTCCTAAGAATGCGAGTTAGGGGGTCCGGTGGGCATGCCCCCTCGGCAAAATATTTGAAAAAATTGTTGCAATTTGGTGCCATTCTAGGCTATTTTAGTGCATATAAGACGTATTTATGAAACAATGATTTTCGTCAGCGAGGGGCGGTGTTTTTTGGATAATTTGATTGATGTGGCGTCTGAGAATTTGAGCGAGTGGCCCCCTCGCTGTGTCAATGCTGGGGAAACACTGATTCTAATAATAAATTCTGTAATATTATAATTGTAACGCCTTGCAAAGCGTTAACAATTAGCAGAGCTGCTTATCTCCCCCCCCCTTTGTCGACAGTTCGGCGCGAGCACGTCGACGGGTATTAAGCGGAGGAACTAATCAGTCGCGTGTGCGGTGACGCTGACTGCCGACGGAGGAGCTTTGGGCGTTTCGCCCCATATTTCAGCTGCGATGCATTTTAGAGCCAATCGAACTGTGTTTAGTGATGCGGCTAACTTCGTTAAGACCTTACTCAATTACGCTCTGGTACGACTCCATAACATAGAGGTCCGTGCGACGCACACGTCCTTCATTAACCGCATCTAGCCACCAGACACTCCCTAAGACAAACATGATGCATTTGTCAACCTCGCATTATAGCTCTCTCGCGCGACTTCTCCTGTTGTAACTTCACCGCCAAAAGTCACGATAGGTGCTGCACAGGCCCGTCGCTAGGTGTCACACGCCAGGGCTCGCTGGGATGCGGAATATTTTTTTCGCTACTGCGTAAGAGCAAATACTCCATTGTTGCGCATGCGGTGGACCCTAATCCTAACCCTAATCCTACCCTACCCTATCACTAATCCTAACCCTAACCATAAAACCCTAACCATAACCCAATCCATATTTAAAAAAATATATTAAAAAAATATATTTTTATATTGTTGTAAAATTAATTGTTTGTATTAAAATGTTGTAAATAAAATAAAAATCATGTAAGTATTTGCGTTAATTGGAAGGAAATGTAAACAGATAAAGATAGAAAAATACAGAAAACAAGGGAAAATAATATGAGTATACACTGCCGAGGTATTTCTCTACGCGTACGGAAAAAACAATTCGCGAGGCGCTTGGTGCGAGTTTTAGCTTCATCTAACATAGCAGATGCAGCTTGTAGAATCGCAGTATGATCGTCCGTGCGCCGTTCCTGCCGTGCGTCCGTCCGTGGTGCCGTCCGTCAACAGTGGGCCAAATCTAAACGGCTCGACGTACTGGTCACGATATTCGGGAACGTGGTGGGCGGGGGGGTAATCCGAAGACGAGTTGGGATGTCGAAGCTGGGGGTCAAAGGTCTAAAGGTCAAGAGGTGTAAAAAGAAGGGGGAACATTCCCTCTTAACTTAAGGTATTATAGGAGAAATGCAGAATTGCGGCACAAATCTAAACGGCTCGACCTAGGCTCGTGATTAGTCGGTGCATAGCATCATTGGTAGGAAAAGCCATTCACTGTGCCGAAATTGGATCACAGGGGTCAAAGGTCAATGGGGCACAGGGCAGATTTTAGACATTTTTGAGGACATGCTGACGTGAGCCCGATTGAAAATTTTTGTTTCACGCAGGTGAACTATCATTTTTACTGGCTTTATTGAAAGAGACCATGAAATCTGCTTTCCACTGACGTGCGAAGAGTAGTGTTGTTAACCTTATTGACCTCAAAGAGGAGGGTTTTTTAACATGGATTTGTTGACTGTTAACAAATAGGAGTGAACTGCTTTTGATATTAGAGCCTCCAGAGAATAGATGGTTATCTATCTATTTCTATGGATGCATACATGCATGTATGCATGGCACATCCATAATATATAATTTCAATACGGCTGAATAGGCGAAGCGGTAGAGCGGCTGGCGTTACGTCTGAAGTGCGTTAGTTCGAATCCCATCTGTTTATTTTTTTTATTTTTTTATTTTTCCATCTTTATCCATTTAACTATTTTTTCCCAATTAACGCAAATATTTACATGATTTATTTACAACAATTTAATTTAAAAACGATACTACCCGTACAACCCATTGCGCGCTCATAGTAAAACGCTTCCTTAGAATCGCGGCGAATTTTAAAATCGCTCGAAAAATTCGCTCGTGTGCCCGTTCACGTCAACGCCGATTTCGTACGCCCGTATCAAAAATGTTAGATATTTTCGGCCGATTATTTACGCCGGCGATTATTTACTGGCAAATTCGCTCGTGTGCCCGTGTCCGGCGTATTTTGTCGAGCGATCGATTTTTTAAAACCAATCGGACGTGTTGTTGATATCATGTGATGCATCATGTGATCATGTGATTCCGTCGCGTGGCGTACGCATACGCTCTCAAATTCGCTACGTGTGCCCCTTCGTGATCGGCCGTATAAATTCGCTGGCGATTTTAATCGTCGCGATCGGGCGAAAAAATACGCTCGTGTGCCCACAGCTTTAGGAGTGCCAGAAAAGAGTGAAACGATGATAATTATCTATTTTCTGGTACCAAATGAGTGTAAAATGAGTGTATTTTAATGTAGATATGTAAATAACATGTACATATGTACACGGATATGTACATGTTTACATAAAATACATGTTTAAATGTCATTTGAACATGCATGTGTCAAAAAACCATGCTAGAAGTCTTGCACAACTGATTTTCATTAACATAAACTAAATTATTCGATTTCTTTGGCAGAAAAGCTCTTCCTACCAGGCGGAGTTAAGGTGTTGAACAACAGTAGAGGGCGTCCATAGGCGGCAGGCCTGAATAAGCATCGAACAGAAATTAATTAAAAATACTCACACTGTTACTGCGCTTACACAACATACACTTTATTCATGTTAAATAACTACAGATTCGTGCTCTATGCTCCGCTCAAAACTTTTGCCAGCTCTATGATGCGAATTTCTACAGAGTAGTCGGATCACGTTTCATACACAAAAATGGCCGACCGGCGACCATGGCTATACGCCACTTGCTGGAATAGCACAATTACACAACAAGACCAATTTTACTTCTAACGCTTTCTAGACGTCCACGAGGCATCTAACTTGCGTGCATAATGCAAATTATTGCACTCTAGTGCCGAATTTCTGCGAACAAAAATGCTAAAAAAGGCATTTTCTAGAGACGATATAGTGCGGAGGCTTAGAACAATTTGCGGAGGCTTACTGTTGTGGGAATAACTTTTCCTCGGGCGTAGATGGAGGGTCACGTGATGTGGCTGCACTTGTGTTAGGATTAGGATTAGGGTTAGGGTTAGGGTTAAGGCTATAGTTAGGGTTAGGGTTAGGGCTAGTGCTGCCACGTAGTGGCACCCTCCATCTACGCCCGGGGGAAAGTGACACCCTACTGTTGTATGCTTCCTACAACATCAAGCGTCTTACCGACGTCAGCGCCCCCTCTCGTCGAAACCCGTAAGTTTACGATCTATGCGCGCAACATGGCGTTTACTAGACTCGGTATGGTCCAGCCATATAGCGAGCGGAATAAATGAGCAAAATCAACTATAAGTCCTTCTATGCTTCCACCCAGCTATATCAGCTCATAACTAAGATTCTGAGTTAAGTCACTAATTCACTAAGCCACAACAAGACACTGACCGATGGCAGTGCGTCTGTCCGATCGTCTGCCTGGCAACGAGGCGTCGTCAACGACGCTGCGCATGCGCGCGTTCGCTGCTCTCGTCTGCAACGTAATCATGCGCGGCAGACGCGTCCGCTAATCGCTTTGTTGAGTTTCAATCAGAATTCTATAATGATTTGCAATCTCCGAGGAGCGCTCGTGTGATATATGTATATCAGGAGTAGATAAAGGGAACATCTTATTGGATGATAGGGTCTTGGATGATAGATCTTAGGGGATTCCCTTTATCTACTCCTGATGTATATATATATATATATATATATTGGGGATATTATATATATATATATATATTAATATATATATATGTGTGTGTGTGTGTGTGTGTGTGTGTGTGTGTGTGTGCGTGCGTGCATGCGTGCGTGCGTGCGTGTGTGCGTGCGTGCGTGCGTGCGTGTGCGTGTGCGTGTGCGTGTACATGTACGTGTTCGTGTGTGCGTGTACGTGTGTGCGTGTACGTGTGCGTGTACGTGTGCGTGTACGTGTGTGCGTGTACATGTGTGCGTGTGCGTGTGCGTGTGCGTGTGAGTGTGAGTGTGAGTGTGAGTGTGAGTGTGAGTGTGCGTGTGCGTGTGCGTGTGCGTGTGCGTGTGCGTGTACGTGTGTGCGTGTACGTGTGTGCGTATGTGTGTGCGTGTACATGTGTGCGTGTACGTGTGTGCGTGTACGTGTGTGTGTGTACGTGTGTGTACG